TAACTCTTGGTTTCGGCTCAGGTCATGATCTCAGGGTTGTGAGATCAAGCCCTTGCATAAGGACTCCATGCTCTGCACAGAGTCTGCTTGAGATTCTCTCTCCCTCTCCCTTTACCCTCCAGCTCATACTCTCTCTATAAAATAAATAAATTTTTGAAAAAAATGATGAGATAATAACAGCCAAGTAGAAACAATCCAAATACCCATCAACTGATGAATTAATTTTTAAAATTGGTATACCAAGGGGCACCTGGCTGGCTCAGTCAGTAGAGTAGATGACTCTTGATCTCAGGGTTGTAAGTTCAAGCCCCACACTGAGTGTAGAGATTACTTAAAAATAAAATCTTTGGGCGCCTGGGTGGCTCAGTTGGTTAGGCGACTGCCTTCGGCTCAGGTCATGATCCTGGAGTCCCTGGATCGAGTCCCACATCAGGCTCCCTGCTCAGCAGGGAGTCTGCTTCTCCCTCTGACCCTCCTGACCCTCCCCCCTTTCAGTCTCTCTCTCTCAAATAAATAAAATCTTTTAAAAAAATAAATAAAATAAAATAAAATCTTTAAAAAGTAAATAAATAAAATTTGGCATAACTATATAATGGAATATTCAATAATAAAAAGGAACAATGCTGGGATGCCTAGGTGGCTCAGTCGGCTAGGTGCCCGATTCTTGATTTCAGCTCAGGTCATGATCTCAGGCTTCATGCTGGGCGTGGAACCTGCTTAAGATTCTCTCTCTCCCTCTCCCTCTGCCCCCCTCTTTCCTTCTCTCTCTCTACAAAAAAAAAAAAAAAAAAAAAAGGAAATTCTGACATGTACTACATCAAATGTCCTCGAGGACATCACACTCAGTGAAATAAGCCAGTCACAAAAAAACAATTCTGTATGATTCCATTTATATGAGGTACCTACAGTTGTCAAATTCATAGACAGAAATAGAATCCTGGCTGCCAGGGGTTAGAGGGACGGGAGAATAAGGGAGTGGTTGTTTAACAGGTACAGAGTTTCAGTTTCACAAGATGAAAAGTTCTGGAGATTGGTTGTTCAACAATGTGAATATACTTATTAATATTACTGAACTGTACACTAAAAAATAGTTAATATGGTAAATTTTATGTTATGCCAATCACTTTCTTACCATAAATTTTAAACACTTTTGTTAAACATTTCAAACATAAAAGGTGTTATATTTTTTAATAATGGGGGTGGGGAATTTAAGAGAAGAAAGTCACACAACTTCTATTTTGCCAAAAATCTGTGTAAGCATGAACTGAATGCCATTTTTCAACTGAGAGTCATTATAATTTTAGAAATCAGAATAAGTAGAATAACCACTAACCCCAAAGAAATACAATTTCTGCCTTCCACAATTATTCAAAAATCTTTTTTGTATTTAAAAAAAATATTTACATAGTCATTCATCTTTTTAAAGATTTGAGAGAGAGAGAGCAAGCAAGAATGAGTGGGGGGGGGGGCAGAAGGAAAGGGAGAAGCAGACTCCCGGCTGAGTGAGCAGGGAGCCCAATGTGGGGCTTGATCCCAGGACCCCGAGATCATGACCCAAGTCAAAGGCAGGTGACCAACTGCCTGAGCCACCCAGGCGCCCCAATAGTCATTCATCTTCACAAGAGAACCTTATCATTTACCTCCTTCCATGAATTGAGTGCCACAGAGTAAACACCAGCATATTTGCAATTTCTATAGGGTGTTTTCAAAAGTTTTTATTGTTGTTTGTTTTAGCTTCAGTCAGAAAGCAGTATTTCACTCATTCAAGGGATTTTTATCCCCTCAGACACAGGCCTTGCAGAATGAAGGCAAGATAAACCTGTAAAAGATGTTATCAGCAATTTACCTACTCAAGACTTCTTAAAAGCAAAAGTGGGCTGTAAAAATGCTTAAAACAAAAAAAGAAGGCAAGTTAATGCTTACAGGCTTTATATATGTTTGTATATATACACATGTATTTGTTGTAGTTGTTATTTAAGACATAATATTTTACACTACTCATTATTCCCAATCTATGTCTACTGGAAAACATCATGTTTTTATTTTTTTTTATTTTCTTTTTTTAAGATTTTTATTTATTTATTTGACAGAGAGAGACACAGCGAGAGAGGGAACACAAGCAGGGGGAGTGGGAGAGGGAGAAGCAGGCTCCCTGCAGAGCAGGGAGCCCGATGCGGGACTCGATCCCAGGACCCTGGGATCATGACCTGAGCTGAAGGCAGTCGCTTAACCAACTGAGCCACCCAGGCGCCCAAACACCATGTTTTTAAATGAAAAAAAATTAAAACAGCTTTCCCAATTATTACGCCTTTGAACTAAAATATACTGTTTCACAAACTCAGTCAATTCTGATTATTCACAGTTAAGGGCAAACTTCTGATATTACCTCTATTGTCACAAGAGCTGGTTCAGTCATTTTCCACTTTAAGATATCTGTGAGTAGTTGGGAAATAGAACTGAATCACCTCTGCCATATTAGGCTCATATCTAGACAGCAAAAAAAAATTTCTGGGCCTAAGAGATGAGTGTGTGTGTGTGTGTGTGTGTACACACATACATACTGGTATATATTAATTATAGTTTATTATATAGCTTATTTCCCACCTATAGTGAATGGACCAACATCTCCGTGTATACTTATAGGATTACCTAAAAATATTATCCCATTATATCCAGAAATTAAGTACTAGCTACACTGAAACCTGCCAAAGGCAATTCATATAATCAGTGAGTTAAGTGTGTTCAATAATACAACCAAATAGGGGCATCTGGGTGGCTCTCAGTCAGTTAAGCAACCGACTCTTGATTTCAGCTCAAGTCATGATCTCAGGGTCCTGAGATTGAGCTCCAAGTCGGGCACCCTGCTCAGCAGGGAGTCTGCCTGAGATTCTCCCCCTCTGCCCCTCCCCCATTCATGCTCTCTCTCTCAAATAAATAAATAAATAAATCTTTTTTTTTTTTTTTAAAGATTTTATTTATTTATTTGACAGAAAGAGACAAAGGGAGAGAGGGAACACAAGCAGGGGGAGTGGGAGAGGGAGAAGCAGGCTCCTTGCCGAGCAGGGAGCCCGATGTGGGGTTCGATACCAGGATCCTGGGATCTTGACCTGAGCCAAAGGCAGAAGCTTAATGACTGAGCCACCCAGGCGCCCCAAGTAAGTCTTTTTTAAAAATAACAATACAACCAAATACTCTACAACTTTGCAAGTTTTCTTGTTCCACTGAAATTTTAAAATATTTACCAGAAATTTAGCAGGTAAAATTGTACAATCCTAAAAAAGTTTACATAGTTTTCCTTAAAATAAGCAGATAGACAAAACAAACTTGATGCATACAGTAACATTGACACTACTTTCTCAAATCTATCCTATTAGAAACCAGTTTCCCAAATAATTCTCCAATCATTAAAATAAGAAAAAAAAGTAGCCTTTAAACTAAAATAAAAGCTTTTTTTTTTTTCAAAAACAAAAAATCCAAACTACAAATCTTATTTTGCATCTTGCTTACAAATTTTTGTCTCCATTTTTCAGTTTGCTGCTTTACTGATACAAAAGAAAATTCAAAATCTATTTCACCTCTTCCTGTTTAGACACCTTATTCTCAGCATAATATTCTTCTTAGACAGGAAAAGCACACAAAATTCTTACTGGACTCATACACTATAATTTTCTGTCAATATTCCTCTTTTTATATATTACTTAAAAGTAATACAAACTGGGGGCGCCTGGGTGGCTCAGTCGGTTAAGCGACTGCCTTCGGCTCAGGTCATGATCCCGGAGTCCCAGGATCGAGTCCCACATCAGACTCCCAGCTCAATGGGGAGTCTGCTTCTCCCTCTGACCCTCTCCCCTCTCATGCTCTCTCTCTCAAATAAATAAATAAAATCTTTTTTAAAAATAAAAATAAATAAATAAGTAATACAAACTGTGGCACATTACATTCTCCAAAGATGGCCCAATGGCAGATTCTATACCATGTGCTCTTCTTCTAATGAGATGCTGATACTCCTCCCTTCAAGTGGTGTGGTCAATGTCTACCCCTCCTCTGAACCTAGGTGGACCTTTAGGACTATCTCAACCAACAGAAAAAAGCAGAGTACCACTATGTGACTTCCAAAACCAAATCAAATATGCCATGCAACTTCACCTTGCTCTCTTGGGATGCTCTTTCTTAGAACCTAGCCACCATGCTGTGAGGAAGCCAAGCAGCCAAAAGGAGAGGTCATGTGCAGGTGTTGTGGCTAACAGCCCAGGCTTCGGTCCCTACCAAAAGCTAGCATTAACCACAAGACACAGACATGTGTGCCAAGCCTTCAAGTGATTCCAGCGCCCAGCCATCAAGCTGCCCCCACCCTTCCAGCTACTTCATCTTAGGCCACATATTAACAGAGACAAGCTGTCCCCACTAAGCAAGTCTTATCCAAATAATAGATACATGAGCAAAATAAATGACTGGTATGTTTTAAACCACTAAGTTAGGGGTGGTTTGTTATGTAACAATAGATAACTAACACAAGCTCATAAATACAATTTGGAAAAATACACAAAAAGAGAAAGAAGAAAACTTTTAATTACCCTAAGTTTCATCACTGTTAACATTTTGACACATATTTTACCATCAAGAAAATATTTTGCGGGGTGCCTGGGTGGCTCAGTTGGTTAAGCGACTGCCTTCGGCTCAGGTCATGATCCTGGAGTCCGGGGATCGAGTCCCGCATCGGGCTCCCTGCTCGGCAGGGAGTCTGCTTCTCCCTCTAACCCTCCTCCCTCTCATGTTCTCTGTCTCTCATTCTCTCTGTCTCAAATAAATAAATAAAATCTTTAAAAAAAAAAAAAAAAAGAAAATATTTTGCCCCACTCAATTAAGATGCCAAATGCCTTGTTTTTACCATGACAAAAGGCTATATTTTTAAAGGCAGCCAACTGTTGTCATCTAACAAGAAATAGGAAGGAAAAACATTAGCATTCATTCTACTTATCTTTACTATCTCTTTCACATACCTGTCCTTAGTGAGGTGTCTGAGGATGACTGGTACACCAATATTCCAATCTGTGGATGTGAATCAAGATCTTGGGTCGCAACAGCAGCTACACTGGACCCCCCCCAGAAGTAGTTGCTGAAGCTCCAAATCTGAAATTTTGAAGGAAAGAAAATGCTAAATATAAAACATTTCCTTTTTTTTTTTTTTAGGATTTTATTTATCTGAGAGACAAAGTGTGTGCGAGAGAGAGCGAGCACGAGCAGGGGGAGGGGCAGGAGAGAGAGAAGCAGACTCTCCACTGAACACAGAGCTAGACGTAGGGCTCGATCCCAGGACCCCAAGATCATGACCTGAGCCGAAGTGAGCCACTTAAGATGAGCCACCCAATGGGACGCCTGGGTGGCTCAGTCGGTTAGGCATATGCCTTCGGCTCAGGTCGTGATCCCAGGGTCCTGGGATCGAGTCCCACATCGGGCCCCCTGCTCAGCGGGGAGCCTGCTTCTCCCTCTCCCACTCCCCCTGCTTTGTGTGCTCTGTCTCTCTCTGGCAAATAAATAAATAAAATTAAAAAAAAAAAAAAAGACTGAGCCACCCAGGCACCCCCCAACGTTTCCTTTCAATCATTTATAATTCCATCTTTGCTACTGAATGGGGGCTGGTAGAATGGGTTAAGATTACATGTAAGTAACGCACAGCTTTTACTGAAAATGGAGTTGGGTAATGTGGATTCAAGTCCCAGCTCTATTTCTTACTAGATATATGATCTTACCTAAGGAACAAATTCTCTGGGCCTAAGTATCACCATATGATGAAGACTAAGGTGACTGGATCAAAATTTTGGGCTGGTAGTCAGAAGACCTGGGTTCCAAACTCACTTATTCTGCCTTGCTGTAAGAACTTTGATACTTCTCTGAGGTCAGATACATCATCTCTAAAAGAAAAGGGTTGCATTAGATAATGGTTCCTGAAATCTAATCTTTAAATAGATGCCAGCCATGACCAAAAATGGGTGTAAAGTTACCAATTGTGCTTACTCTGAGACTGTCCTTCCTACTTTTTTCTGGTATTAAAATGGCTTATGAGACGATGTGATAGACAGTACTAGTTGTTTTATAAATAGAGTCAAAATCAAAAGCTGTAGCCCTATGTAAGCAATATAGAATTCTTTTTAGAAATTCTAGTGTCTCTATGATTTCCATAGCTCTAAAATCCCCTCTATTTCTAACAATCTATGTATCCATTCACTACTCAACTGGTATTTTTTGGGTACCTAACATGTGACAGGCACTCTACTAGTTGCTAGGGGAGCCCAAAAATAAGTAAGATTAGTCCCTGCTCTAAAAATTCTCCCAATCTAATAGGAAAGCAGATACATAAACCCCAAAGACAATACAACGGGTTTTCTAATAGAGGCTTTGCACCTTATAAGAGGTAAAACAGTGGAATGAATGAGTTTCTAAATTAAGTAGGATTTTATTTTTCTGGTTTTTTTAAGATTTTTTTTTTTTAAGTAATCTCTACACCCAACATGGAGCTTAAACAAGCCCGAGATCAAGAGTTGTACGCTCCACCGACTCAGCCAGCTAGGCGCCTCAAATTAAGTAGGATTTTAAAGTGAGTTTTATAGGGGCGCCTGGGTGGCTCAGTCGTTAAGCGTCTGCCTTCAGCTCAGGTCATGATCCCAGGGTCCTGGGATCGAGCCCCGCATTGGGTTCCCTGCTCTGCGGGAAGCCTGTTTCTCCCACTCCCTCTCCCCCTGCTTGTGTTCCGTCTCTCGCTGTCTCTCTCTTTGTCAAATAAATAAAAATTAAAAAAAAAAAAAGTGAGTTTTATAGTTGTATGAGGAATTACTTAACCTCTTTAAATTTCAATTTCCTGATTTGCAAAAAACAGGAATGATTACAGATAAAAGAGTTGCAGTAAATACATAAGATATTAAAAACAAAGGCCAATCCACCCAAAGTTTGGCTTATACACTTTCCAGAAGACAAATTAAAAATTTAACATGTAGGGAGGCGTGGCTGGCTCAGTTGGTTAGGCATCCGCCTTAGGCTCAAGTCATGATCCCAGGGTCCTGGGATTGAGTTCCACATCGGGCTCCTTGCTCCGCGGGAAGCCTGCTTCTCTCTCTGCCTCTCCCCCTGCTTGTGCTCTCCCTGTCTCTGACAAATAAATAAATATTTATTTTAAAATGATCATGTATTAATGATCCAGTACAAAAGGGATCATTTACAACACTGACTTATACTCAGGGGTACCTTTCTCCATTAACCTCTGAATAACTGAAGGGGTACAACCAAGTTTGCTCCATTTATATTCCTAGCACCTAGTGCAGTTCCTTATAAATAGCAGGTATTAACAGTTTATTAGAAAAAAAGACTGAATGAATGGCTTCTTTTTGTATGAATTAAAGTTATAGTAGCTGAAAGTAAAAATTCTTAAGTTTTCATTCAAAACTAATTTTTTTTTTAAAGATTTTATTTATTTATATGACAGAGAGAGCGAGAACAGGAACACAAGCAGGGGGAGTGGGAGAGGGAGAAACAGGCTTCCCGCTGAGCAGGGAGCCCGATGTGGGACTCGATCCCAGGACCCTGGGATCATGACCTGAGCCGAAGGCAGATGCCTAATGACTAAGCCACCCAGGCGCCCCAAAACTAATTTTAAGTATATATTTTAAGTACCCAACCTGTCATAATGGAACCTGAATATGCAGGCCTGTTTTAAAAAGCAAAATAGGGGCACCTGGGTGGCTGAGATGGTTGAGCGTCTGCCTTCGGCTCAGGTCATGATCTCCAGGTCCTAGGATCGAGCCCTGCAGCAGACTCCCGGCTTCTCCCTCACCCTCTGCCTCTCCCCCTGTTCATGCTCTCTGTATCTCTCTGTCTCAGATGAATAAATAAAATCTTCTAAAAAAATAATAAAATAAATAAAAAGCAAAATAAATTCACCAGACAATGCAGTAGTGGTGTTCCTGAATAAGAAGAGTAGAAGCATGCAATATATGTTAAGAAAAAAAAAAAAAAGAAGAAGAAGGTAGCAGGAGGGGAAGAATGAAGCGGGGGAAATCGGGGGGGTAGACGAACCATGAGAGACGATGGACTCTGAAAAACAAACTGAGGGTTCTAGAGGGGAGGGGGGTGGGAGGATGGGTTAGCCTGGTTGTGGGTATTGAGGAGGGCACATTCTGCATGGAGCACTGGGTGTTATGCACAAACAATGAATCATGGAACACTACATCTAAAACTAATGATGTAATGTATGGTGATTAACATAAGAATAAAAAATAAAATAAAAAAAGAAGAGTAGAAGCAGCTAACATTAATTAAGCACTTACTATGTGCCAAAAACTCTTCTAAGAGCTTTCCATGGATTTCCAGGATTTCTCATAATCCTGACAAGAACCCTTATGAAATGAACTATTTATATGATCATTTTATAATAAAGAAAGCTGGACACAGAAAAGTCAAGTTACTTCCAATATCATGAAACTACTAAGAGGTAGGGTTAGGATTTTTAAAAAAAGAAAAATATAGCTACATGACTCCAGAGCCCCCCTTTTTAATTTTTATTTAACTAAATAACTTTATTAAAAAAAAAGGGGGGGGGACGCCTGGGTGGGTCACTCGGTTAGGCGTCTGCCTTCGGCTCAGGTCATGATCCCAGGGTCCTGGGATCGAGTCCCACCTCGGGCTCCTTGCTCAGCAGGGAGCCTGCTTCTCCCTCTGCCTACCGCTCCCCCTGCTTGTGCTCTCTCTCTCTCTGATAAATTAAAAAAAAAAAAAAAAAAAAAGATTTTACCAGAACTAGGAGTATTTGCTTCTGATTTTTTTTTTAACAGAACAATAAGTCCTTTAATATGTGCACTAAACACAAATACATGATACAGTCCCTCCCCTTGAAGGCCCTACACACCAATGTGGTGGTATTATTAATAAGTGGTAACATGAGTAAGTAATATCCTAATTTTATTTTATTTTTATTTTTAAAATATTTTATTTATTTATTTGAGAGACAGAGAGACAGAGATAGCAACAAGTAGGGAGGAGAGGGAGAAGGAGGCTCTCTGCTGAGCAGGAAGCCTGAGGCAGGGCTCCATCCCAGGACTCTGGGATCATGACCTAAGCCAAAGGCAGACACTTAACCGACTGAGCCATCCAGGTGTCCCAAAAGTTTAAATTTCTAAAAACACAAATGAAAACACTAGCACTGTGAATTCACAGTACTAAATAAAAGGCTGCTGGTTCCAAGATTTGGTTTGCCAAATTTTTCCCTACAGATAAATGTTCAATACCCACTGAACATTTTACACCACTCCAAGATTAAGAGTCTTCTGCTAATTCTATGAAGAAAAATGAACTCCCAGTTTAGTTTATGTTCCAAGTAGCTGTCCCCAGAGGAACAGATCGGAGCAGGGCAACTTAAGCACAACATTTAAGCTTTATTCAGACCTGGAAAACAAAGAAATCTGACATACTTTCCACATAGAATATGCCTATGGAAAAAAACTATATTATCTATTTTTAAAAAGTATTTATTTTTACTTTTTTTTTAAGATTTTATTTGAGAGAGAGAGAATGAGAGACAGAGAACATGAGAGGGAGGAGGGTCAGAGGGAAAAGCAGACTCCCTGCTGAGCAGGGAGCCTGATGTGGGACTCGATCCCGGGAATCCAGGATCATGACCTGAGCCGAAGGCAGTCACTTAACCAACTGAGCCACCCAGGCGCCCTACTTTTACATTTTTTAAAACTACAATAACTATGCCAATTAGAGTAAGCATAAAAAGGGGAGGAAATCTTTCCAATTACAAATTAATTCCCCCTAGTCAAAACTTAACTCATAAATTCTGTTTATCCGACTAGATATTTAATTTCATCATACCTGAAGATCTTCATCTCTTCCTAGTACCTTTTCAAACATTTTAGACCCACCCACCATCCAATCTCAATTCTGAATGCCATTCAAAAAACAGGTGATCACCTCCTTAATACCCCCTCTTAATATGTGACCATTAACAGCTATTATAATTTCATTTCACCAAAGCCAAGTGTGGTGTGCTACTCACAACTCCAAGTCTGTGTTCCATAGCTCCAAACCATTCTTCTCAAAATGGCAGCACACTATTCTTTTCTATTATATACAAATTC